AGCATGTCTAAATTTAGTAAATATTTACAATTGTATTGCATGCATTGAACTCATTGAATAATTCGATTAATTTTTTTTCTGCGCGGTTTTCTCATCGATTTTTTAAATTGAATTTTACTCGTTGGTCTAAACATCTTTTCGTTCATTTATTTTTTTACATTTATTTGTTTCCTCTTCATCCTTCTATTTCGATTTATTTTTTCTTTCAGTTTTCATGTCTCGAACTCGTTCTTTCTTTCTTTTTTCTCTCTTTGCCTTTTTGATAATTTCATTCATTTGTCTTACTTGATTTAACTCTATGCAGAAATATTGAGAAAAAAAATACTGTCATCTTTGTGTCCCCATATATGTCACTCAGATTTTTTATTGACATTTTCTTTTCTCTCTTTTCTGCTATTGGCTTTTTTCTTATTTGCCAAAAAAAAATGAGGATTTCAAGAAAAAGATGAAGGATGACAAAGAAGAAGAAGAAGAAGAAGGAGGAGGAGGAGGAGGAGAGGATGATGAGGCGGAGGAGGAGGAGACGAAGAAGAAGGAGGAGGAGAAGTAGAACAAGAAGAAGAACAAGGACAAGAAGAAGAAGAAGAAGAAGAAGAAGAAGAAGAAGAAGACGAAGAAGAAGAAGAAGAATCAAGGATGATGAAGACAATAGCAAGAATAACGACGCAGATAAGTTTAAGAAAGAAGAACAGAAAGACGAGTAGGGGGATGAATAAAGTAAATTAAAAGAGGCAAAATCGGAAAGAAGAAAAAATGAACGACGATTAAAAAATAAAGAGATGAGGAAGAGTTTGGAAGAAAATAACAAGAATGAAAATTAGAACATGAAGAATAAGATAAAGAAGAATAGTGAAAAGAGGTAAACGGTGAAGAAGAAGAAGAAGAAGAAGAAGAAGAAGAAGAAGAAGAAGAAGAAGAAGAAGAAGAAGGTAGGATAAAAAGCAGACAAAAAAAGAAAAGAAAGAATGAGAACAAGAACAACGTGGACAACATTAAGAAAGAACAGTAAGACAAGATGTCGAAAGAGGAGAGGATGAGAAGGAAAAGAAAAAAAAGTGCTAAAATAGAAATATATGAAAATGAAAATAAAATAAAAAAGATTTAAAAGAGTGTGATAGAAGAAGAAGAAAAAGAAGGATGATGATGATGATGATGATGATGATGACTACGACGAGAAAATTTATCAGTAATCAGCAACGAGGGATTTCGTATGACGGAAAGTATGTTGAGAAACAAAAATGTAAGTAAAAACCAAACCGAGTGGAGATACCTCTGAACTACAAATAAATATAAAACCTTGCATAAATAAACAAGCCAGCGATTTTATTTTAACTTTTGGTAATTTATACTGACATATAAATTGAATTCAAATATACTTCAGATTAAAAGAAAAACCGCTAGAAAAAACAAAAAAAAAACAAACAAAAAAAAACAAAAAAACAAACGTCACTGTTAAGACCAGAGTAAAAAAAGAACGAAAAGACAGTTTCTGTTACCGTTCTATTTTTTATTTCATTTTATTTACATTTTACTTTTATTTATTTGATTTGATTGATTTTATTTTAAGATTCATTAAGGACATTATTGTTTTAAGAACAATTTTTTTTCGATGAATAAGAAATTTTTACAAGAATTGTTTTCATTTTAAAAATTTTAATTATAATGATTTAAATAGTTTAAAATTCTGCATTACTTCAATCCGGTGAGGTGATATTGTTAGTAAGTGAAAACTATATTTCGAATCAAAGATTGAAAAGATTAATAAAATTCCTTTACCTCCAATATTTAAAAAAAAAAATTATTTTTTTCTTTTAGCGTAGAAACATTCCCATTTTCTAAGTATGGATGTCCGTCACATGTTTTAACAGTTGTCTTCCCTGGCCGTCTGTTGTTTCATTTTCATTTTTGCCTTTCATCGTGTTTAAGTCTTAACAGACTTTCCAAAATTTAAAGGAACCCAATATAATTCTACTACAAATAATTTTTACTTTAACTTAAATTATATTTTCCTTATTCAATTTTTATTTAAAAATTTCGTGTCATTTTGAAATTTCTTTTTAAATTATTTTTACTTCAGCTCCTATTCATTAAAATGTTTTGTTTTTTGTTAGTAATTTTTTACTTTTTATTTTTTAAGTTTATTTTTATGAGAGTTATTTTGGTAATACGTAAGGCTATTAATAAATATATAAGTAACTAAAATTCAATAAAATAGTAAATAATTGCTGAAAATTTTATGTTAATTTTATAAATTACTTGGTAGTTAAAAACCAAAAACATAACGTTCACTTAAATTTCGTAAATTTATGTTAATTTCTGGTCAATCATACTAAGCTTTTCAAAAACTTAGGCTGACAATCAATCGATTAACACGTCAGAAAAACAAAACCCCGTTGTTAAGAAATGCTTGTATACTAAGTTTTATGCTATAAGTAATATTTGTTGCAAATCAGATTAAGTTAACTTTAAATTTGCTAATTTCCAGTAACCTGTCACAAGTATATATTTTATTTTTGCAAGTTTTTTAAAAACAAAAATTAAATTTTGTCTACAAATATGTCAAAATGGCCGACACTTATCGATTTTTATCCATTTTCTGAACGCGACCAAAAAGTTGCGATTCAAGTCAAGATAATTTATATTTGAAATACACCAGAGTATTTTGCATCTGAAAATAGTAAATTTAATAATTTAGCTTGTAATTGAAGATAAAAAGCAAGATTCAAGAATGCTTTTTCATTTTTAAAAAATAATTTTAAAACTTAGGTATCGAAAATTTAATAAAGGTACCATATTTTTAGGATAGGTTCGTATGATTAGAATATGTATTCTTTGTAAGAATCAGTTTGTAGATTAGGTTTCATTGGCGTATTTTTGTAAAGAGGGTTTTGTAGAGTTAAATGTATTGCTGGTAATATTTTTTTTCTAAACTTTATTGCTGGTAATATTAAAAAAATGTATTGCTGGTATTTTTACCATAAAAATATATATTTTTTTATCATCATTCGACCGTATTCGGGATTATCAATGCGAACGATCCTTTCTTTGGCTGTATAGGATGTTCTATAGTTTAGAATTCAGAGTTACTTTCTCCTAAACCGGAAGCCAGTCTGCTCTGCTATCTATCCATAAATGTGGGGAGGATTCATACCTTTCCTCAATCTGAGCCGCTATTCATTACTCCACCGTGCCTCCGTATTTTTAGACTTTCATTATGTTTTTTGACCCCAGATTGGGGTTAACTATTTACCCACAATCGGGACCCTAACAGGTGATACCACCCAGGTTCTGGAAACAACAACAATTAAGAGCTTGTTCCATACTCCTTAAAACATCCCGATTAGAGGTTTTGTTGCCAGATGTAGTTTATTTTAGTTGTTTGTCTGATCAGGAAATCTTTTTTGGCTGTATCAAGAGTTGGCTTGAAAAACACAGGTTCCATCTCTGGGGATGCATGAGTATTTTAGACGATTGCTCATTTCAGAAAGACATATTCATCAAAATATTTGAATGTATCTAAGTATACAACGTTTACACCAGTGTTAGTCATATGGGGTATTTTGTTACCTTAAAGTTTTTAACTGCTAATTTATAAAAAAACTTTCTTTTGTACACATTTAAAAGGTTAGTGGAGTATTTGTAATTAATTTTATTTACCGAAAAGCTGAGTGGGGGAGAAGAAGAGGATTTATACCTTTCCCAAGGGTATTAGTACGTAAGTAAATGTAATGGATTCGACTGGAATTCGAACCCAACCGTAGCTGTTATCCAATATTCAACGGTGCCTCTTGATTGCTTAATTAATAATTAAAATGAAAAAGAAAATATTATTTTTTTTATTAGTTTTTTTTTTTTTACAAACGCCAGAAGATGCTCAGTCAGTTTAGTACCATGCGTGATACACGCTTAGGCGATCATGTATCTTTCGATACATGACTGACGAGGCGGATTTTTCTCCCGTAGTAGGTTGCCATTTCTTTCTACGGAAGACCAATTGCCATCGAAGGCTATAGAACCCGGTCTGTCTTACAATTTACTCATAGCGAGGAGGAGGAGAAGAGGATTACTACCTTTCCTAAGAGTATTAGCACGTTAGTGAATGTAACGGATTTGACTGGAATTCGAACTCGGCTCTCTGATTCCTCAATCCAAGCCGCTATTACTCCACCGTATACATTTCCTCTTTGTTCTTTCATTTTATCATCCTTTCCGATTCATATTTAGCTCTCTCTCTCTCTCTCTCTATCTATCTATCTATCTATCTATCTATATATATATATATATATATATATATATATATATATATATATATATATATATATATATATATATATATATTTTTCAGTCCTATAATTATGAATTTAGTAATGTAATATCTTTCTTTTCATAGAAATATATTGTGACTTTAATGTCAGAAATGGCATCATGCGTGATATTTTCCACTGAGCAGTTTTGAAAATCAAATCGTACATATTTTACATAGATAAAAAGAAAAAAAAAGAAAGAATGAAGTGAAATGTACGATGAAAGAAAGAAAAAAAGACATTCAAAAGAAATAACGAAAATAAAAAAATAAGAAAGAAAAGAAAAAAACGAAAGTAAAAAGAAAGAAAGAAAGAAAGAATGTTGGAAACCAAACAATCGTTAAAAAAATAACGGAAATAAAAAAGAAGAACAAGAAGAAAAACGAAAGAAAGAAAGAAAGAAAGAAAGAATGGAAGGAGGGAAGTAGAATTGGGGATTAAAAAATCAAAAATATTTAAAAACTAACGGAAAGAAAAATAATAAACTGCTAAAATGAAAGTAAATAGAAAGAAAAAAAAAGAAAGAAATCTAAATCCTAAATAAAGAATAACAATTTAAAAATGAAAGGAAGACACAAAATTGAAAAAAATTAAAGTAAAGAAAAAGAACAAAATAAAAGATAATATTGAAGAAATCATGAAACAAGAAAGAAAGAAAGAAAGAAAGAAAGAAAAAAAGAATAAACCAACTACCATTGTACAGATATTTCTTTCTCTTTCACAGCTTTCATGGATTACAAAGTGAAGAATATTTGGCAAATGCTTGCAAGATTTGCACACATTTCATAACTTTTGTCTTTCTTGGTTAGTTCAAACCGCTTCCTTCATGAAAAGAGATCAACCGGTAAGATGTCCTGCACGAATTCGCTTGTGAAGAAAACTACGTTAAGTCATTGTTAGCAAATGATTGTCGTCTAGAGAAGTTGTCAAAAGCATCCAATCGGGGCTCTTCCCTTCGCGCCCGTTACGGATGCCAAGAGAACTTGAACTCTTTGTCTTTTCATTGATAACCACCAAGCCCGTCGTAAAGAAATGAACACATTTTTTCTCAAAGAATACAATATCAAGTCGTACAATGCACATGATTAAGAGGGTGGTAATTAACTTGTCCCGCAAGCCATTGCTAGTGAGTTCGATACTCACTGTATACAGTGTGGACTGAATCTTATGCTAAAACTAGACAAGTCAAATATCTGTCATAAACACATGGAACCCGTTGATAGGGACAATAGGCAGAAGGCAGAGCAATTCTTTATTTTGCAGCTTTAAGAAAAGCGTTTGCCTGATAAACGAAAAAGGGTAAGAGGCAGAAGATGAAAAAAAAAAGACAATTAACAAAGGTGAAGAACTATAACTTCAGATAATTATTTTTTAAATAATTTTCTGCCAGAGCATACTTAAATATAAAGATCATTAAAAAAAAACTATTCGTCTTAGTTATTTAAGAGTTTCAATTAATTATATTAAAAAATGTATAATGAAATTTAGTCTTTATTTAAACGAATGTCGGACGTGAAATCGTTCTTATTTCCTGTCTTGAATTTAAAAAAAAAACGAAAACTTGATCCACGGACGTAGTTGTAGACATGCGATTCATGTTAACAAATAGCAGTTAAGATATGTTTATAATCTTATTTTGATATGTGTACATTATAAACAAAGTCTAAACGTCTATAACTTTTCATAATATCATGTTTCCTGTTTTGAATTTAAAAAAAAATAAAACTTGATCCACGGACGTAGTTGTAGACATGCGATTCATGTTAACAAATAGCAGTTAAAATATGTTTATAATCTTATTTTGATATGTGTACATTATACACAAAGTCTAAACGTCTGTAACTTTTCATAATATCATGTTTCCTGTTTTGAATTTTAAAAAAAAAGAAAACTTGATCCACGGACGTAGTTGTAGACATGCGATTCATGTTAACAAATAGCAGTTAAAATATGTTTATAATCTTATTTTGATATGTGTACATTATACACAATATCTAAACGTCTATAACTTTTCATGATATCATGTTTCAGTTAAGTGCCATACGTGATAACCTCTTGGGCGATCATGTCTTTTTCGATTCATGACGACTCGGTAGAATATATTCCCGCAAAAAGGTTGCCGTTTTCTTTCGCAGTAGACTGATTGCCAACCAAGGCTATAGGACACAGTCTGTCTTGTTATTCAATCCATAGCTGGGGATTGGGTGAAGAGATAGATTCATACCTTTCCCAAGGGTATTTGCGTGATAGCGGATGTAACGAACCCAACTGGAATTCGGAACCGGCTCTCCGATATTTCTCATTCTGAGCCAATATATATTACATCACAACGCACATATTTAACGCAAATATCACGTGATTACACCAGATATCAAAATGTATGAAAAACGAGCAATTAAAGTTGCTACACTATGAAAAAAAATTAAAGTTGCTACACTATGAATAGCTTTCGCAGACAAACATATACAAACGTAATGTATTCAGACAAAATGTAGATAAAACAATACAAAACCGTAAATATTGTTTGCACGGAGACAGAATTGAATCTAAAATCATTTATAAATTAATATCCATTAGCCGCCTACGAATCATACAGAAAAATATATTAAATAAAGCTTCTCCCACTTTAAAAGAGCAGAGAGTTTTTTGTTTTTTTTAAATACCATGCCCATTTAGGTTGTAAGCGATCATGAATCTCCTCTTCTTCGTTTCAGCCTTTTATGGTTCTTTTGTTGGACTCAGGTCTTCGCCAGATTAATGCGGTGGTGGGGGGATGAGCTATTACTCTATCACGCTGGTACGTGTTGGTAGAGTCGGATGTAACACGTTTGGAAGATCATATCTCTTTTCGACACGTGATCACGCAGGGGTATTCGCGTGTAAGTGAATTTAACGAACCCGACTGGAATTTGAACATAGCTCTCTGATTTCTTATTCCGAGCCCACAACCACTTCACCACCCTCATAACGCACATCTAAGCTTACTGTACCTATTATTTCCAAGTGGTCACCTACAATATTGATAGAAGGACATTTCTCTTAATACAAATCCTCCCACCTGATACAGACCAGACTCAATATTGCTTAACTTCGATGATTTGACGAAAAATGGTATTTTGACGTGATGTGACCAAAAACTGATAAAGTGTTACCGGCTGTTTCAGGGAAATGGAAAAATTGTCAATTTCAAATCTTTTCATTTGTACCCACTTCTTAAAATAACGACAAGCATTCATATTTATGATTATAATTGCAATATTTTGCTAAAGTTGTTAAGCTCAATTTATACGGGGATTTCATTGTCATAGAGCTCGTCATAAGCTTATTTAGCCATTAAATTAAGAATTAAGACATATCAGAATATTAAAATGTGAAAACCTCGAAATTTTCAGGGGTTAATTGAGTTCCTCTCCGACTCTTAGAGGTTTCAACAGGACGATGTTTGTCTTATCTCAGTCCCTCGTCGCTGCTTAGAAACACAACACTATACACTTAGCACATAAGCTGTTCCAAGTAACGCTCGGCACTCGAAATGATATCAGACGTCTTGCGAAGGTTCTTATAGACAATCCCCTATGCCAAACACAAAAGCAACAATTTGAGTTACTGCTTGGTACATTACAGTAATCTGCCAGGTGTTGGCACATCTGTATTTTTACCTGTTCCTTCTTTACAATATTCATATCCCAATGTCTATCGGGATCTATCAGAGCTACACTTTTGTATAAATGTGATATCAGGGCGATTGCTCACCAAGCGCTTGTCAGTCAAGATTATCATATCCCACATGAGATTCACTTCCTTGATGTTTGGCTACTGACGTTGGTGAATGATCGTGCCAATTATCTATGTATTCAAGGACACACTTCCTGCATAGTAAAGCTAAGCAAAGTATTAAGAGACAAAGAAAACTATGTTAGAAACAAAGAAATGTGTACTGAAATGTGACATGATATCTGTCCTCCTATATGTCTGTGAAGGCTGAGCAATCTCCTCAAAGATGAAGAAGAGATTTGAAGCAACAGAAATGTGGCTGTAGAGAAAGATACTGAGAATACCATGTTATACTTAACATCAGGAAAAGACAGTTGAAATTTCTGGAGCACATCATGAGAAAAGAGGGCTTGGAGACTCTGAAACTCACAGGACAGATCGAGAGAAAGAGGGAGAAAGTATAACAATTCATAACACACTTGACGACCTTGAGTAAATGGATGGCGGAAGAGGGTCAAGGTGAAATAACGAAAATAGCAGTATTTATTTAGAGCTACAAAGGACAGGATATTGTGGAGATCTATGATCGCCTCCCTCCTGAGAGGGCACGTCTAATAAAGAAGAAGATATTCTGAGGGCAACTTTGCCATGGCGTCGTCTGTACTCTTTTTGTTCCAGTTGAGAGCGGTCAGTGTTGCCTATTTTCGGTTGCTTTGCTACACAGCCCGCAGAAGGGTGAATCAACTGCTTTATCAATAGAGTATTTTTTTTTCTTAAAGTCTGCTCTTACAGTGAATAAATCCTCCTTACGGTTTATTCTACAAGAAAATTCCTAATAATTTTTGTACCAGAAGATGCAAACAGATTAGGTACCATCAGAAATATATGTAATGTGGATATCGTATGGGGAAAAATCTACGCAATATGTGAAATGTACCCCTGAGTATGATTTTCTTGTAATTCATATGTTTTACGGCAACCAGTAATGTGTCAGCTCTCTTCATCGCAAGAATGTGTTGGTGAATGCGCTTTGCAGGACACTGCTGGCGAGCAAAACAAGAACTTGCGAGTGATCTCTCTAGAAACCTCGCAAGAAGGGGTAGTTGCCCAGAAACTAGTTAAATTGACCTGTTATATTATGACACTGAATGCCACACTAATGACCTTCCGACCTTGATTTAGGACTGTCATAGTTGGCGTAATAAACTCGTGAATGTCCGAACTAGCTTGAACGAATATATAAAACAGGGCAACTAGGAATTTGATCCATATATTTGTTTTTCCTTTAACTTGTGTGTCTCTTGGGCTTTGTGTTGGGTGAAAGTTAGTATAAAAACATCATTATTATTTTATTTCCTTTGATTCCTGGTGTATACTCATTTAGGGACCTAAAGTCAGAAATGACATCATGATATTCTTCACTGAGCAATTTTGAAAAAAAACAAAAAAACACATAATTTATATAGATAAAGCTCTTCGTAAGGTTTGGGCTGTACTCGTGAGGACATTTTTTTTTAAGGTATAGAATCCCTGCAATGAATCTATTGGATTTTTTCCAATCAATCCTAGGGCTACAGCTGAAATTGATGATGTGCTCATATGCCGCATTTTTGAGATTTCGATTTCAAGGTCCTTGTATTTTAATAGCGCTTTGAAGATCTTCAAAGATACATTGCAGTTTGAAGGGATTGTCATATCAATAAGGAGTCACTTTTTGTCTTTGCGGTCTCTAATCACGATGTTGAATTATTATTATTATTATTATTGTTATTATTATTATTATTATTATTGCATTTGAATATTTACGCCAAATATCTGGTGGCCAACACTAAATATTGTTTGACACCATTTTTCCACAAATCCCCAGGATGTCTTTCTCAATATCCTTAATATAATCTTTCCTCCGTGTTTGATTGCTATCACTGAAGATGGCGTGGTATCAAATCTCCCCAAATGTACCGCCCTTTTCTAATTATTATTTC